TTGATTATCATATTTAAAATAAATTTTGTTTTACATTTATGACAATGAATAACAATATTTTGTAACAAATAATGTGTAATGAATAATATTATTTTGTAGCAAATGTGCAATAATTAGCAATAAATAACATTTTGCAATTACAAAGTTTATTTGTTATTATTTTTTCATTTGTTGCAATTTTTCGAAGCATTTTTAAATATAAATATAAAATTTAGAAAATAATTCGTTTGAAAAACTGCGGGAATGGCAAGAAAATGGCGGACCAATCAAAAGTGGCAGCTGTATGGCGCCACTCTGATTAGAGGCTCTCTACTCAATTTCTATCGCCTGCTACTACTGTACTGAAAATCAATCGTCTAGGAACGCACCTAGACGAAGTTTCTGAACGCAGTCCTACTTGGTTTTCTCAGCCTTTGTTTTTGAAAGCACAAGTTGATATTACTAGTAAATAAAAAATGTATCCTTTAAAATGTAATCGTGTAATATTTATAATTTTTTAGAATTGTGTATGCTCAACTATTTCCATCAGACTGTTTTTTATGCCTTATTTTGTTAAAAGAGAGGATTAAAAAATAATGAAAGTGTAACAAATATTTAAACGAAAATTAGGGTTATTTTAGCAAGTATTTAATATGGGATTTCAAGTATGAAAAATTTAACAATAACTTTACACAAGAACAAGAAGAATAAGATTATAAATGTGACTTATAAACTACATCTTTATTGTTTTAGGTTTCTTGTACATATTGAATTTTTTTCATAGTATTTCAAATGCATATTTCATTTAACCTTTAAATATGTTTACATGTGTACTCAAACTGTGCTACTTTTGATATTGCATTTTCAATACTTTAAATGGGCATTATATACTTTTTAAAGTAAGTTATTTTCGTTTTTACTATGTATATCGAAAAATTGTTGACAGAAGTTTAAAAAATTTTTATTTAGGCTTTTATCTAGCTTGTATGTATATATGTGTTTTATATCCACACGTGTGATGCGTGTGTGTGTAATATAAAATATATGTATAGATATGTAAATATATATGCAACCAGTATAAATAAAAATGTACTAGTTTACTTGTGATTGTTAGATGTTATTTGGAATAAAAAGGAATTTTATTTTAAATTCATAATTTTTGTTTAAATCAAGTTTTAATTTTATTTTAGATATTATAAACAACATGGATGTAGAAGTTTCTATAGCTGAGCGCTTACAAAAACTAAGACAATGGCAAGTGGAACAACAAGAAAGATTACTGACACAACAACGAATACAAAGGGAGATTTTAAGTAGCGAGCAAGATCGTATTTGCAAAGTACTTGGCTTACCAATAAACAGTGATGTTATAGAAGATACAGACGACATGTATGCTATGCATGAGATTGGGATGGATGTAAAAGAAACAATGTCTGATTGTGAAACTTCAATACTCCAATGCAATGTGAAAAATCCAAATGATGTATTAAAAATTATCGATAAAAGAACATCAACGAATGCTGATCCAATACACAAAAGTTTTAATGAGAAGCAATGTGATGATTCTGATTGCATTTCCACAATTGTTGATAAAGGTAGAAAGTCTGTGAAAGATTATAGTTCTAGTGCATTGTCACAGAAAAAAGAATTAAGTGATTCATTAATAGAAGGGATAATGCCGTTACCATCAAATGATATTTCGGATAGATGTGCCTCAATCGACGACATTCCTCTTCCTTCACCTAAAAAAGATTTTCAAACAATACTAGAAGAGAAATTAAAGAAAGAATTAGAAATTATGCCAAATACGCATGCTGATATGAAGATTAAGCCAAAGAGACCATTCCTAAAGAAAGGTCAGGGATTGTCAAGATTTAAAATGTCTACAAATTTATATCCTCTGACAATAACTATGAAAAAAAATAACATGCCTTTATCCTCTAATAGACAACGCATTGATAGAAATGATAAAAGCAAGAGCTCGACTGTACATAAATGTGCATTTCCGAAAATTTTGGATAATTTTCCTATTGCAAATGGAAAGCGGCAATTAAACTTGAAAACTGTTCCATTACCGAAAAAAAAGATTGTTAATAAACCTGTTACTCCTGCTAATCGAATCACATGTAACGTTACTTCTAATCGATCAAAACATCTATCAGAAATGAATACATCAGACTGTGATTCAAAAGCAGCGAAAGAATTAGAGGAGGTAAGAATATTTGAACTCTTAGAAGAAAAGGCGGAAAATTCTAGTTTCTGTTCAACATCAAGCACAGTACTTGCATTTTTGCAGCAGTCTACGCCATTTAAAGTAAAGAACAGATTAAATCAAACAAGTGAGGACAATAGTATTGTCGCGACTAAGAAACAGCAAGGTGATGAACAAACAAGCGAAATGCTCGAGCAAGAGGCAATGATTCAACAAAAAGCTGCACACACTGAAAATTCAAAATCGACTGTACAATGCCAAGTTGAACGATTTGAGCTTGATAAACATTCTCGCATTAATGCTGCCACTATTGATTCCTACTGGGATACTATAACTATTGACGATATTCCAGAAAAGAGAAAAGGGATACAGAATTGTTTTATATCTGCTAATCGAGTATTGCAAAGCAAGGAAGCATGCACAAATTACTCAGAAAATCGTGATGCTATTGTCACAGTATTGTCAAATAGTGATGAAGAGAGAGACATCACGGTAAATGAACATAATTTAATGCATGATAGGGAAGTGGACGCCAGCCATCACGTTAGATTTGCAGAATATAATGAATATAGAACCATAGATTCAATAGATATGTCTGACACGGCAAGTGATTCTCCTTTGAAAGATTATTTTGAACAACAGAGTTGGAATCGTTCCATTGACATATCAGAATCATCTGATGTTAAGAAGAAGCTACCATTTAATTACGAGAAACAAATAAATGATTCTCCTCTGAAAATTGTCAGCATTGAAAACACGATTGGTACTCCAAAACAATTGTCTTTGCTACATGATGTAACAAAACGTAACAAAAAAGATTTATATAGTTATATAATGAAAACTGTACATGCTCCTGAAGAAGAAAATGCTTTAAGTTATAAAGACGAATCGCCCAACGATGAAGCGTGCTATGATAATGAATGTACGCCGATAATTGAAGAAATTGTTCAAACGTCTGACGAAGAGCCGATAATTGAAGAAACTGTTCAAACGTCTGACGAAGAGCGATCCATTTTGTCGTCGCCATTATCATCATCATCATCGTTATTGTCAGACATTCGAAAGCCATCGAGTGCACACGAAAGAAAAAAATATGTATTGAGAAGCGAGCCAGAAAAAGTAACAGAGAAAATAGCGAAAATATATTCGAATGTGGGAGAGATCGATTATCCATCTGAGGAACGGATGAATCAAACAAACACTTTCGAGACAGATCTTTTGAAAAACCGTTTATTAGAACTTGAGAAAGAAATAGATATATTTCGAAAGGAAAGTTCAGCCTTGTTGTTTCAGCGACGAAAATTGCAAGAAGACGAGACAATTCTACGTAAACAATACGCAGAGAAAGAAAAGAATTTCGAAGAGAATAAAAGAAGAGTACAAAATCAATTGGAAGAGGAGAAGAAGAGAATAGTGCGCGAGAAGATAGCAATGGAGAATAGAATTCGCGATGCTCAGGAAAAGGCGAGGCAAAATAAAATGGAAAGACAAAAGGCACAAAATCTACAAGAACAATTGGAAGAACTGAGAGATGAGCTAAATATCAAAGAAAGCAGGTGGAATGCTGCTGAATCACGGTATAAGAGCGAGCTTCGTGTGTTACGAGTAGAAATATCGAGATTGAAACAAGAAATCGCACATCTGCAGAATATTAAGAAAACAAACGTCAGAAATCTTAGGAAAAGTACAGGACAAGTAATTACGAAAGCTATCAATCAAATTAACAAACGCGTCGTCGTGACTTCATCCAAAGAGACCTCAATGAAGACATGTCAAGATTTATCGAATACTTCATCAGATACCTCCGTTCACGACAATGACAACGAAAATGAAGACAGAACTAGAAGCAAGCCAATCATGAAAGTAGTTAATGTGAATGATGATGATTTTGGACAAATAGAAGGTAATGAGACATCTATAAATGAAGTAAAGTATAAACAAGTTGAGATTGATTCACAGCCTAAACGCAATCAGAAATACCCGGAAGGGAACATTGTGGAAAAAAAGCGGCATTTATATGAAAATTTACTAAAAGATGCAACATCGGATTTAGTAGAAGATAAAATTTCATTTCATACGAAGCAGGATATGTCGAGTGATTCTCAAACAATAGCCAGACAAATACAGAATTCAAGTGTAAAAAGCAATAATAAATCTTATTTTACGAACAAAGATCTTGGGCAGCCTACAACAGCTTATGTTACGAAAAATACAGAGTATTATATCGACAGATCTCGTGAGGCAAATCAGGATTCAGAAAACGACGTAATAATAGAAAAAGAAAAAAAAACAGATCGAACATTATCGCCTGAAAAGAATATAAGTTCTACATTGCATCCCTCCTCTTTTCCGAATCAGAATAGTAAGACAAGTATGGACAATGTGAAACAGATTCAGTTTCCTGACGGACGCATAGAGTACTGGTATCCGAATGGTAACGTCAAAAAAATTTTCCCCGAGCAAGAAGTTACAAAAATGATTTATTATAACGGAGATGTTCGTGAAATCGACAAGAATAGAAAAGTAAGATATTTTTATGCTACAACTCGAACGTGGCATACAACAACTCCCGATGGCTTAGAAATTTTAGAATTTCCTGAGTATGTTTATTTTGTTAGCATTTTATTATTATTAAGTTTATTAGTTTGTTTGTTCTAATTATTACTTTGTTTTATTCGCCAAATAATGCATAATAAATTTTACAAAATTTTATATATATATAGTGGTCAAGTAGAAAAGCGTATGTCTGATGGCACTGTCGAAGTGTTGTTCCCGGACGGAATAGTAGCGCAAACTTTTATTAACGGCGACAAAATTTTGACTCTACCAAATGGTCAAAAAGAAATTCATACAAAAGCACATAAGGTGAATGAGTGTTCGATTTTTATTTCATATTTTAAATATATGTTCTGATTCATCTAACGTATACTTTTTTTATCGTATAAACATGTAAGTTTTTTGAATTTATATTTATTATAAATATTTTCAGAGACGAGAATATCCTGATGGTACCGTAAAGTTAGTTTATGTGGATGGTACCCAAGAAACACGTTATTCTAATGGAAGAAAACGGATAAAAGATAAAGATGGCAATCTTTTGATGGATTCGTATGATATATAAATTTCCATTTCTTTTTCCATCGAGGATTTTCTTTTCAATGAAATGAATTTAAAAATAAATTTAAAAAAAATATATATATAAATGATATAATATATATGAAATGTGAATATATGTTATTATAATTAATTACGCAATTGATACATTATAAATTTGATATATTGATATATTGTATAGTAGTTATATTTTTATAAGAATTTGAAACTTAATGCTAATTTTTTGATTATAATAAGTGAATAAATAAAGATTGAGAATTTTATATACAATGTGTCTCATTTAACGTTTAGCTATCCAAAATAAATTTCAATTTTATTTGATGTCTCTTTCATTTAATCCGATCGTTTCAAGTGTTTGTTACGTGCAAATGATTTAATCGTGACTTTGCAATATTTAATTACTTAATTATTGTGTCAGAATTCATATCGTTTGTTAAATTAAACATTTATTCAATAAATTCGTAATATGATAACTTCTGCAGTACAGTAAGTACAAGGGGAAGAACTCAGGAACTCAGGAATTAGGGAACGACAAACATTAAAAAAACAGTAATCATAGTTAAAAAAAAAACAATTTCGCAGTATAGATTAAATTTTTGCAAGGATATTTTTTGTATCAATGAAAATATTTTTTTTCATAACATAAATATAATAAAAAATATATTTTGACATAATAAAATATATTTTATATTTGCAAATATGCAAAAGAAAAACGATTTGTAAACTAAATTCGTCATTTGATCAGAAATTTTATTGATACTTCTACAGCCATTTTACTGAAGAAAAGAAAAAGAAAAGATAAAAGAGTGGAATCAAGCTTGAATTATTTAAAATATGTTTTAAGACATTACTTTAATCAATGAAAAAATTGTTAATTGACCTTTGAAATTTTAATAAGATTAATAAGTTATACATATACATATATTATTTTTGTAAATATGCACCTTTATACTAATTGCAAATTATTAATTTATGACTTGTAGATAACTAATTTTAAATTATTAATTTTCTAGAGAAAAGAATTTAGAAATAATGTTACGCGCATAAATATGTTTACGATGCGATAATCATGGATATTCATTTTATTCGATCACTATGTCAGTATAATTTTTCTAAATTATAGTCAAATAAATAATACTAATATTTTCACTAATTATAGTAACTAATTTAATTTTTTACTTAATATTTTATCCCTTAATCGATTATCGCAATTATTGGTTGTATATCTGACCGCATGTAAGAATCATCACGTTGTTAGTAATCGATTTTTCGCGGGCAAGAAACACTGACCATATCAGTTGCCGGTGCCGCCATCGCGCGCTGGGAGCCATTACTCTCTACTTCTCTCTCTCTCTCTCTCCTCCCTGTTTCCTCTGCTTCTCCATCCTCTCGTTCTTTCTCTATCTGTCGTTTGCTAATATCCTGTTTGGGAAATCATGCGTTTCGTATACATGTAGCGCGTTTCTCTTACCGATCATTGTCGCTTGATCGCACGGAAAAACAGATTTTTCGTTATTTGTTTTACTTGCATCGATTCTCGCTGTACTCCGCCGTAAATAAGGAAAGACGACTTCACTGCGCGAGAGGGCATCCGAGCCCGCCCTCCTGGCAAAAAGTGAGTGATAGCGATTTTCATTCGACTCGACGTGCGCGGTTATAAAAAAGGAAAGGGCAAGGAAGATATATATAGCTGATAAAATATATTTAAAATTATCGAAAAATACGAACGTAGAAAAAGAATGAAGTGGGATATATGAAATGTAGAGAGGTTATGTTGATGAAGAAATTAATTAAGAATCGGATGATGTGTAAATGTAGGAATGGTTGATAAATGGAATGGCGTAGATGATATAGATAGATAGATAGATAGAGAGAGAGAGAGAGAGAGAGAGAGAGAGAGAGAGAGAGAGAATTGTTTTTTCGCGATTATATATATAAAATAGAGGTATAAAGTTGCTGAAGATATAAATTTTTTTAAAAAAGATTGAATAATATGGAGAAATTATTAAATTATTAAATAATTATAAACATTAAGGAAATTTGGTGAACGTAGAAATAAAGTAAGAAGCAGAATGACGTAATGTTCGAGTAGAGAAAGAAAGGTAATTGTTATTGCAAATAGATATATACTTGGAAAATTACAAAACTGTTTGAATAATAGTTCGAATAAGCAAAAAAGAAGGAATAAAAAAAATTAAGTTAATGGAATAAGTTTAGGTGAATCATGATTGGGTAAAAAAGTACATATTTGTTTGTGCGGGATTAAGTATATAATGTATGTACATACATACGTAGTGAGGTTATAAGACAGAGAGAGAGAGAAACAAAGTGCTTTATTATTTTAGGTGAATTCATCATTAATAAAAAAGAAGAGGAAATAATAGAGTGATATATCAAAGAAAGACAACAAAATGATAACGCGATTGTGTCGATAAAAACATTAAGTGATGTAATTGCGCATAAATTATGTACAACGATCTGTCTAATAAGCCTACAAACAATGACGTGGTAAAGTCGTAAGATAGAGAAGAAGAGAAACGGGATTTACTTTTTTTTGATAAATTTGTGTAAGGTAAATAGGAAAAATAATAATGATGTAATGCATTTATTAATCTATTAGGCAGAAAATTTAAAAATTAAATTTATGCAATATGAAAAATTGAAAAAATTAGTTATTTATCGGAAATGATTTTTCGTTCGTGCATTAATAATTACATTACCAATTTTGTCATCTAATAACTTTTTTTATAAAATTTTGCAAATAACTCGAATTCAGTTCCGACTTCTTACGATATTTGTTATACATGGTTATATGATTCGAGAGCAATTATTGTAATATAAGGTGAAATTTTTAACTATTTCGATTTCTATGTATTATTTTCAGAATAAAAAAAATAAACATTTTTATATTTATGCTGGATAATTCTAAAATAATTTCAGAACATATACATGTGAAAATGTCAATTCACATTGACATTTCTTACATAGATATTCTTTATTGGCGCTAATTTCATGTAGACAGCGTTTGCCTTTCTCTAATTTTCTTTGTGAACATATATAAAGTGTGATTTTATTTAGACGTATATACGTACAATACAATACATATATTACAATACAATACATATGTACAATACATATGTTGTATATATGTATGCTGTATCATGTGCATTGGTTGTATATGTGTGTATATATATATATATGAGACTTTTAAGTTCTATTACGTACTCAGGCGTGTATAGAAGACATATATATATATATATATATATATATATATATATGTATATATTTAACTGCGACATGAAGAACTTTAATCATCTTTCTTCGGTTCATACAAAATTAGCATTCGATTCAACGACGCGGATAATCTCGAGTGTTCCTCTCGTTGCAGTCGGCCAGCTAAAAGATCGAGGCTCGCCACGCACGTTGAAAAAGGTAATGACTTGTTCCGAGCAGATCAAGACGATTGCGACACGGCGGCGATGGCGAAGAGGG